GTCCAGAAGGTGCTCGTACTGGAGGTACTGGAGCTGCTGGGCCTGGGGGTGCTTCTTGTACTGGAGCTGCTGGCGGTATTGGAGCTAGAGCTGCTGCGTCTTCTGGTGGTCAGGCTGGAGCTGGAGCTGCTGGGGGTGTTGGCGCTGGAGGTGCTGCTGGTGCTGGTGCTTGTGAGGGTGCTGGAGTTGGTGCTGCTGGAGCTGGGGGTACTACTAGTGCTGGTACTATTCCTGCTGGTTCTGGTGGCGCTGCGCGGCCACGGCCGTACTTCGTTCCGCTCCTTGAGCAGGTTCTTGGTCTTCCGTCCTCTCTTGGTCCTACTCCTCCCTTAGAATGTCCGCCGACGGTCCCGTCCGAGTCACAGCTACAGCCTGCCTCCCCACTGCCTTCTCCTTCTCCCTACACTGGTCCTACTGGAAGTCTTGCTGAGCGTCGTGAGCCTGCGTCTCGTCCTGCGTCGCCTGTCCGTTTGCTCGCACTAGTGGTCGTGGTTCGCGTCAGCGTCCTCCTCCTGTCCCCGGTATGCACCGGATGTCTCTGCGTCCTTCCACTGCTCCACAGTGTGTCCCTCTGCCTTCTCTTCTTGAGTCCTCTCTTCCTGCTCTTCCTGACCGGGAGTCGGACTCCCTTCGCGTTGCCAATCCTACTGTCACGCGTCTTCTGGCTACTATTGTCACTGACCCTTCCTTTGAGTCAGCTGCTGCGTCTGCCTTAGTTGCTGAGCTTGTTGACTTCGCTGCTCGCTGTCTTCTAGATTACGCTGTTAGTCTTGTTGCTGAGTCTGAGTCTGTCTGTCTGTCAGACTTTATATTATTTATATTTGTAACTTCCTGTAGCTGTAGTTAGTGTAGTTATTATAAACCTAGTTTGGTGGTGCACCTTCTTTGTTTCCTATGTTATATGTTCTTTGAAACCTATAGTGAAACCCCACTTTCCAACTTTCTCGACCCCCTCACCCTTGGCTCAACTCACTCGACTTCCTAGTTGGGCCTAGTCTCCTAAGCCTAGGCCCTAGTTAAAACTTAGTAAACTTTTGCTCATTTCAACATGGATTCAGAGCAAGTTTCGTCCTGGCCTATGGGCCCGCCCAATGCTTCCGCTGCTGTATTTCTGGTCACGCGCCTCGGGCGCGTGACGTTTTTCTTTTCTACCCGTCGCGGACCTGCTTTTGGCGCCCGCGACGGCGCCTTGAGCCGTCACGGACCCGCCTTTGGCGCCTGCGACGGCGCCCTTAGCCGTCGCGGACCCGCCTCTGGCGCCTGCAACGGCGCTCTTAGCCGTCGCGGACCTGCCTCTGGCGCCCGCGGTGGTGCTCTTAACCGTCGCGGACCCGCCTTTGGCGCCTGCGGCGGTGCACTAAGCCGTCGCGGACCAGCCTTAGGCGCCTGCGGCGGTGCACTGAGCCGTCGCGGACTCGCCTCTGGCACGCGACAGTGTCCTGCTCGTCGTGCGCCCCGAGGCACACGACGGTGCCCTTACCTTCAACTTACCCGTCGTGCGCCCCGTGGCACGCGACGGGCCTTTCCGCACCTGCTCTCACTGCAGCCGCCCCTGACCTAGCTGCACCGACACAGTGTAGCCGCTCTGCGGCTTTCTACCCGCCCACCCCCTCCTCCTTTGTCTCCCTGCAGCCGTGGGGGGGAGGGCATGGGGGTGGCGGGTGTTGGAGCTTTGGGCCGTTTCCTTCCCTTCCCCTCCTCTTCCTTTCGTTCCCACTGCTGCAGCTGCTGCTGGGGGGGAGGGTGTGAGGGTGTGGGGGAGAAGGGGGATTGGCACCGGGGGTGGCGGGTGTGAGACAACCAGCAGCCGTCCCTCCACTTCTCCTCTCTCCCCCCCCTCTCTGCTGCTCCTGCAGCAGTGTGGGGGAGGGGAAGGAGGAGGGTGAGGTGATTGAGGGGGTGACCAGTTAGTGTCAACCCACCTGCAGTACCTGCTGTTGCTTGTTTATCATCTTGCTTGTGTTGCTTGTGTACCCCTGCAGGTTGTGTTTTGCACAAACTCCTACTGCACGCAGTTATGGGGGAGTGTCAGACTTTATATTATTTATATTTGTAACTGCCTGTAGCTGTAGTTAGTGTAGTTATTATAAACCTAGTTTGGTGGTGCACCTTCTTTGTTTCCTATGCTATATGTTCTTTGAAACCTATAGTGAAACCCCACTTTCCAACTTTCTCGACCCCCTCACCCTTGGCTCAACTCACTCGACTTCCTAGTTGGGCCTAGGCTCCTAAGCCTAGGCCCTAGTTAAAACTTAGTAAACTTTTGCTCATTTCAACACTGTCCTCCGTCCGTCGGGGGTGAGTGTGCTCTTAGCACGGACGTCCTTGAGGATAGGCAGGAGGAGTTCCAGTGCTTTGCTGCTGCTTCACCTCATCTCGTGTCCATGTTGTTTGCCCCTGAGGGAGACCCGGATGCACCAGACATCCCGACTCCGCGCTCTTGCGCATAGGCGATAGAGAGTCCTTACTCCTCTCAGTGGCAGGCAGCCATGGACGCAGAGATGGCTTCCTGGAAGTCCACAGGCACCTACGTCGACGAGGTTCCCCCACCTGGGGCGAACATCGTCAGTGGTATGTGGATTTTCAGGGTGAAGCGGCCGCCGGGCTCTCCGCCTGTCTTCAAGGCAGATTACGTGGCTCGAGGCTTCAGTCAGCGGTAGGAAGTTGACTACTTTCAGACCTTCTCTCCCACCCTGAAGATGACCACTCTTCGGGTGTTGCTGCACATAGCTGCTCAGCGCGACTACGAGCTTCAGTCTCTTGACTTCAGCACTGCTTTCCTGCAGGGCAGCCTGCACGAGGAGATCTGGCTGCGCCGCCCACCTGGTTTCACTGGGCCGTTTCCTCCAGGTACCAAGTGGAGCCTCCGGCGGCCAGTCTTCGGTCTCCGCCAGGCGCCCCGTGAGTGGCACGACACACTGAGGACTACACTTGCGGCTCTTGGGTTTGCTCCTTCTACTGCCGACCCGTCGCTGTTTCTGCGCACCGACACCTCTTTGTCGCCGTTCTACATCCTCGTGTACGTCAACGACTTGGTCTTTGCCATAGTTGACACTGCTGGACTCGCCCACGTGAAGTCCGAGCTGCAGAAGAGACACACGTGTACTGACCTGGGTGAACTGCGCAGCTACCTTGGCTTGCAGATCACTCGGGACAGAGCACAGCACACCATTACTCTGACTCAGTCACACATGGTGCAGCAGGTCCTTCAGCGCTTCGGCTTCACGTACTCCTCGCCTCAGGCCACTCCTCTGTCTACTCGTCACTCGCTCTCAGCTCTGCCTTCGGGTGAGTCCTTAGAGCCGAGTGGCCCGTACCCAGAGCTTGTTGGCTGCCTCATGTACCTGATGACCTGCACTCGACCTGACCTTGCATACCCTCTTAGCATCTTGGCACGCTATGTTGCTCCTGGGAGACACCGACCAGAGCACATGGGTGCAGCGAAGAGGGTGTTGCGCTACTTGTGCAGTACATCGGGCATGGGGCTAGGAGGGCGGAGTCCAGTGGTCCTCACTGGTCATGCAGACGCTTCTTGGTTTGACGACTTGGCCACGCAGCGGTCGTCACAGGGTTACACCTTCAGCCTTGGTTCCGGTTCTGTTTCGTGGCGGTCTACCCGCTCGTCTTCTGTTCTCAGTTCGAGTTGTGAGGCTGAGATCTACGCAGGGGCCATGGCTGCACACGAGTTACGCTGGCTCACCTACCTGTCAGAACATTATAGCTTACTTATTTCTATAGGCTATAGTGGGGTATCCCATAGGGGGTACAACACAATTAGGGTTTCCTATTTGTACTCACTTCGTTCATAGTCATTTCCTTCTCGTTCTTTCTTTCACATGGAATCAGAGCAGGTTCCATCCTAGGGACTGCTTCTAGGGCCCACCGAAGCGCGCCCCGAGGCGCGTTTTCCTTTTTTTTAGCGACCCGTCGTGTCGCCCTAGCGGCCCGTCGCGCCGCCCTTCCTTAGCGGCCCCGCCGCCCTTCGATCGCGGCCCCCGCCGCCCTTCGTTCGCGGCTCCGCCGCCCTTCCTTAGCGGCCCCGCCGCCCTTCGATCCGCGGCCCCGCCGCCCTCTGCTAAGCGGCCCGCCGCCCTCTGCTAAGCGGCCCCGCCGCCCTCTGCTAAGCGGCCCCGCCGCCCTCTGCTACGCGACCCCGCCCCGCAATTCGATCGCGGCCCCGCCGCCCTCTGCTAAGCGGCCCCGCCGCCCTCTGCTAAGCGGCCCCGCCGCCCTCTGCTAAGCGGCCCCGCCGCCCTCCGCTAAGCGCCCCGCCGCCTTGCTCACGCGGCCCCCGCCGCCCTCTGTTACGCGGCCCCGCCCGCCCTCTTCTACGCGGCCCCCGCCCGCCCTTCCTTCGCGGCCCCGCCGCTCTGCTCTCGCGGCCCCGCCGCCCTCTGCTTAGCGGCCCCGCCGCCCTTCCTTCTCGGCCTCGCCGCCCTACCTACACGGCCCAGCATCAGCCGAGCCGCCCAGCCGCAGCCGATCGGCACCAGCATCAGCCGAGCCGCCCAACCGCAGCCGAGCGGCCCAGCATCAGCCGAGCCGCCCAGTCGCAGCCGAGCCACCCTGCGGAAGCCGAACCCGCCCGGGAGCCGCCGATCAGCCCAGCAGCAGCCGAGCCGCCGAGCAGCAGCCGGGCCGCCATGGAGGAGCCGAGCCGCCCAGGGAGCAGCCGAGCCGCCCAGGAGCTGCCGAGCCGCCCAGCAACCGCCGAGCCGCCCGACCTGCCCTGCCCGGTCAGCACCGTACCGCTGTCACTGCGTGCCCTTCCCCTACTGCTTGCACTGCTCCACTTTTGTCGTCATGGCTACCCCCAGTGTCCTCGCTTTTGACGCTGAGGGTCGAGCCATTGACTTTGAGGTCTGGGTCGACGACCTGCAGCTGTTCTTACAGTGCGATAGAGCTGACGGCCTTTCCCTCTTTGACCTCACCTCTGGCGCCTCTCCTGCCCCTGCTGCTGATGCTGACCCCACTGTTCGCTCTCAGTGGGCTACACCGCGATGCTGCTGCACGTCTTGCTGTGCGTCGCCACTTGCCCACCACTAAGCGCGCGCACTTTAGTCAGTACAAGAGTGCCCAGACCTTGTACGACGCTGTAGTTGCGCGCTACTCCTCCCCTGCCACTACTGCACTGAGCCGCCTCATGCTCCCCTTCCTCTTCCCTGACCTTGCCGCCTTTCCCACTGTTGCTGATCTCATCACGCACCTCCGCACTAGTGACACTCGCTACCGCGCTGCGCTTCCTGCTGACTTCTGCGCAAGAACCCCCCCCCATGTACATCACTCTCTACTTCTTAGTCACTCGCTTCCCTGACTCCCTTCGTGTAGTCCGGGATCACTTCCTCGCGGTCTGTCCCACCACCCTCACAGTCGACAGCCTCGAGAAGGCCCTCCTTGCAGCAGAGAAGAGCATAGTCGCTGTAGGAGCCTCTCTAGGTGACCCCCGCGCCCCCATCTTTGAGGGGTGTTCTCCTTCCCCTCTCCTGCCCTCTGTCGCCTCTGCCGCTGCGGCCGACCTCGTTGGTCTTGAGTCGGTCGGTGCGGCGTCTGCCCCTAGCGGGAGACGCCGCTCTGGCAAGGGCAAGGGGGGCAAGGGAGCGTGGTGGGGCCAGTGGGGGGCGGTGGAGGTGGAGGTGGAGGCGGCGGAGGGAGTGGGGGTGGCGGTGGAGGTGGTAGCGGGGGGTGGGGGTGCTAGTGGCGGCAGTGGAGGCGGGGGTGGCGGCGGCGGTGGCGGTGGTAGCGGAGGTGGCGGAGGTGGCGGCGGTGGAGGCGGAGGCGGGGGCGGTGGAGTGGAGGCGGGGGTCGCTAAGGTGGCGGGTGGTCGGAGTGGCGCTTCGCAGCGGAGCAGCACTGGGGGCGGCCAGCGCCAGCAGCAGCAGCAGCAGCGTTCTCGCGACGTCCCCACCCCTCAGCAGCTCCGTGAGTGGTACACGCAGCGTCAACGCGGTGGGGGTTTTGGTCCCTGCACCTACGTTCTCCGCACTGGCGACCGCGCTGGAGAGCAGCGTGGGGGTACCCACACCGCCCAGCGCTGCTTTGGCCGCCTGACGGACGCTTGGCGCCAGCAGTTCCCAGAGGCCGCGGAGATCCCCCGCTGGGGAGAGCTGTCTAGGGCTGGTGTAGCTATCTTTGATCTTGATTTTGATGCTATCCTTGCTGCCATATATGCTGTGACCATTAGTGATGAGGGTGACTGTTACCGGTGTTTCCCGTCCGACCCGGGCATTGGTACTGCTGCTCTAGGTGCCAGTGAGGCTTCTGCTCTAGGTGCCCGTGCGTCTGTGCTCTCACGTACTGGTGAGGCTACTCTCTTAGGTACTAGTGCGTCTGCGCTCTCAGGTACTGCGTCGGCTTCGGCCTCCCTCACCTTCACCCTTGACTCTGGAGCGTCTCGCTCTTTCTTTCGGGACCGCACCACACTCACGCCGCTTAGTCGGCCGGTTGCGGTTGTCCCTGGCTGACCCCTCTAGGGGTCCTGTTCTGTCTCGCTTCTCCACAGTCCTCCCGTGTCCGGCGGCTCCCTCTGGCACCCTGTCTGGTCTCTACCTCCCCTCGTTCTCTACGAACTTGGTGAGTGGTGCTGACCTACAGGATGCGGGAGTCCACCAGTTCACCCCTGCTCGTCAGCGAGTGACGCACTGCACAGAGGCTAGCACGGGTCGCCACCTGGCTACGTTTACACGTCAGCCAGGGTCGAGCCTGTACACACTGACCACTGCTTCTCCTCCAGTTCCTGAGTCTGGTAGGGTCCCTTCGTCAGGTCAGGTGTTTGCTGCAGCGTCCAGGTCTGGCCCTGAGTCTGCCCCCTGTTCGTGTCGTCGCCTGTCTCACGAGACTCTCCTCTGGCACCACCGCCTTGGTCACCCCTCTCTGCTTCGACTCAGAGGCATGGCCTCCCGTCTTCTTGTGTCTGGTCTTCCCCGGTCTCTCCCTCCCCTTCCTCAGGGCCCTGGCCCTACCTGTGTCCCCTGTGTCGAGGGGCGCCAGCGTGCTGCCCCTCACTCCTCCCAGTTTCCTCCGACAGAGGCTCCGTTGCAGACGCTTCACATGGACGTGTGGGGCCCTGCCCGTGTCCGCGGACTAGGTCACGAGCGCTACTTCCTGTTGGTGGTTGATGACTACTTGCGTTACACCACAGTCTTCCCCTTGCGCAGCAAGGGTGATGTCACTGAGGTGCTGATCGACTGGATCCGCGCAGCTCGTCTCCAGCTCAGGCAGAGCTTTGGCTCGGACTTTTCGGTGTTGCGTCTGCACTCGGACAGAGGCGGAGAGTTCTCCTCTAGCCTTCTGCGTGCCTACTGTCGTGCGCGAGGCATCCGCCAGACCTTCACGCTTCCGGACTCACCGCATCAAAATGGGATTGCAGAGCGCCGCATTGGCATGGTCATGGACGTCGCTCGTACGTCTATGAAGCATGCGGCTGCCTCCCATTTTCTGTGGCCGTTTGCGGTCATGTACCGGCGCATCAGATCAACCTCCACCCCAGGGTCTCCAGGCCGGAGACCTCCCCAGCCCTGCTGTGGACGGGGAAGGTTGGCGATGCGTCGGCGTTCCGGGTCTGGGGATCTCGGGCGTTTGTCCGCGACTTGTCTGCGGACAAGCTGTCCCCTCGCGCTGCTCCCTGCGTCTTCCTGGGGTTCCCCCCCGACGCCCCTGGGTGGCAGTTCTACCACCCCACCTCTCGCCGTGTTCTGTCCTCCCAGGACGTCACGTTCGACGAGTCGGTACCCTACTACCGCCTCTTCCCCTACCGCACACCGTCCCTTCCCCCCGGTAGACCCCCTCCCCCCTCAGGGTCCTGCCCCTTCAGGTGTATCCCAGGTAGACGCGGTCGAGCCTGTCGAGGTCACTGGTGACTCTGGGTGCTGCTGCGGGTGCTGAGCCTGGGGGTGCTGGGACTGGAGGTGCTGAGCGTGGGGTTGCTGAGCCTGGGGGTGCTGAGCCTGGGGTGCTGGGCCTGGGGGTACTGAGTCTGGGGGTGCTGAGCCTAGGGGTGCTGAGCCTGGGGGGTACTGGGCCTGGGGTTACTGAGCCTGGGGCGTGCTGAGCCTGGGGGTGCTGAGACTGAGGGTGCTCCGCCTGGAGGTGCTTCGTCTCGCGAGAGCCACTCTCCCCACAGGAGCTGCGTGAGTGGTTTGCCCGGCCGCTGGAGGCGTGCTGCTGGTACTGGAGGTTTCTTCGGCTGCGGAGGGTGCTGCTGCCACGGGTCCCGGAGGTGCTCGTACTTGTGGTACTAGAGCTGCTGGACCTGAGGGTTCTTTTGGAGCTGGTACTGCTGAGGGTGTTGGCGTGCTGAGACTACCACTGGCAGTCCGACTAGCGGTGCTCCTGGGGCTGCTGGGGGTTCTGGGGCTACTGGAGGTGCTTGCTGGGGGTTCTGGAGCTGCTGGAGGTGCTGCTGGAGGTACTGCTGGAGCGGGTACTCTGCTGGGGGTACTGGTGCTGTCCATGCTGTTCCTGGCGTCGCCACGCGGCCTCAACCGTACTTCGTTCCCCTCCTGCAGCAGGTTCTTGGTCTTACACCTTCTCCTGGTCCTTCTCCTCCTCCCTTAGAGCGTCACAGCCTGTCCAGTCACAGCTACAGCCTACCTCCCCTTTGCCTGCTCCTTCTCCCTACGCTGGTCCGACTGGAGGTCTTACTGAGCGTCGTGAGCCTGCGTCTCGTCCTGCGTCGACTGTTCGTACTGCGCGCCACTAGTGGTCGCGGTTCGCGTCTGCGTCCTCCTCCTGTCCCTGGCACGCACCGGATGTCTCTGCGTCAGTCCACTGCTCCTCTGCGTGCCCCTTGCCTTCTCCTCCTGCTTCCTCTCTTCCTGCTCTTGCCGACCCGGAGTCGGACTCTCTTCGTGCTGCCATTCCTACTGTCACGCGTCTCCTTGCTACTGCTGTCACTGACCCTTCTTTCGAGTCGTCTGCTGCGTCTGCCCTTGTCACTGAGCTCGTCGACTTCGCTGCGCGCTGTCGTCTGGACTGCGCTGCTAGTCTTGTCGCTGAGTCTAGTCTACCTGTTCTCCGTTCGTCTGGGGGTGAGTGTGCCCTTGGCACGGACCGTCCTGAGGACAGGCAGGAGAGTTCCAGTGTCTGGCCGCCCGCTTCACCTCATCTCGCGTCTGTACTGCTTGCCCCTGAGGGAGACCCGGATGCACTAGACATCCCGACTCACGCGCTCTTACGCGGAGGCGATAGAGGGTCCCTACTCCTCTCATGGCAGGCAGCTATGGATGCAGAGATGGCTTCCTGGAAGTCCACAGGCACCTACGTTGACGCTGTCCCCCCTCCTGGGGCGAACATAGTCAGTGGCATGTGGATCTTCAGGGTGAAGCGGCCGCCGGGTTCTCCGCCTGTCTTCAAGGCGCGTTACGTGGCTCGTGGCTTCAGTCAGCGGTAGGGAGTTGACTACTTTCAGACCTTCTCCCCACCCCGAAGATGACCACTCTTTGGGTACTGCTGCCACGTTGCTGCTCACCGTGACTACGAGCTGCACTCTCTCGCTTCAGCACTGCTTTCTTGCAGGGCAGCCTGCACGAGGAGATCTGGCTGCGTCGCCCACCTGGCTTCACTGGGTCTTCCCTCCTAATACCCAGTGGAGTCTCCGGCGTTCCAGTCTACGGTCCTCCGACAGGCGCCACGTGAGTGGCACGACAACACTGAGGACTACGCTGGCGGCACTCGGGTTTGCTCCTTCTACTGCCGACCCGTCGCTGTTTCTGCGCACCGACACCTCTCTGCCGCCGTTCTACATCCTCGTGTACGTCGACGACTTGGTCTTTGGCCACAGCTGACACTGCTGGACTCGCCTAACGTGAAGTCCAAGCTGCAGAAGAGACACACGTGCACTGACCTGGGTGAACTGCGCAGCTACCTTGGCTTGCAGATCACCCGGGACAGAGCACGCCGCACCATTACCCTGACTCAGTCACACATGGTGCAGCAGGTCCTTCAGCGCTTCGGCTTCACGTACTCCTCGCCCTCAGGCCACTCCTCTGCCTACTCGCCTCTCGCTCTCAGCTCTGCCTTCGGATGAGTCCGTAAGATCGAGTGGCCCGTATGCAGATCTTGTTGGCTGCCTCATGTACCTGATGACCTGCACACGACCTGACCTTGACATACCCTCTTAGCATCTTGTCACGCTATGTTGCTCCTGGGAGACACACTCCCGACCAAGAGCACATGGCTGCAGCGAAGAGGGTGTTGCGCTACTTGTGCAGTACGTCGGGCATGGGGCTAGTGCTTGGGAGGGCGCAGTCCAGTGGTTCGCTCACTGGGCAACTGCGGACGCTAGTCTTTGGGCTGACGACCAGGCTACGCAGCGGTCGTCACAAGGGTTACACCTTCAGCTATGTTCCGGCTCTGTTTCGTGGCGGGCTACCCGCTCGTCTTCTGTTCTCGGCTCCAGTTGTGAGGCCTGAGATCTTACGCCGGGGCTATGGCTGCACAGGAGTTACGCTGGCTCACCTAACCCCTGCTGACCGACCTTGGAGAGCCGCCTCGTTCTCCTCCAGTACCTGTAACGTTACACAACAAGGCCATGCTGGCCTTGTGTCGAGAGCAGCGACTGGAGCACAGGACAAAGCACATTGCTCTCCGCTACTTTCTTGCTCGGTCAGACCGCACCCACACTCACGCCCGCTTAGTCGGCCGGTTGCGTGTTCCCTGGCTGACCCCTCTGGGGTCCTGTCCTGTCTCGCTTTCTCCACAGTCCTCCCGTGTCCGGCGGTTCCCTCTGGCACCCTGTCTGTCTTTACCTCCCTCGTTCTCTACGAACTGGTGAGTGGTGCTGACCTACAGGATGCGGGGAGTCCACCAGTTCACCCCTGCTCGTCAGCGAGTGACGCACATGCACAGAGGCTAGCACGGATCGTCACCTGGCCACGTTTACACGTCAGCCAGGGTCGAGCCTGTACACACTGACCACTGCTTCTCCTCCAGGTGCTGAGTCTGTAGAGTCCCCTTCGTCTGGTCAGGTGTTTGCTGACAGCGTCCAGGTCTGGTCCTGAGTCTGCCCCCTGTTCGTGTCGCCGTCTGTCTCACGAGACCCTCCTCTGGCACCACCGCCTTAGCCACCCCTCTCTGCTTCGGCCTCAGAGGCATGGGCCTCCCGTCTTCTTGTGTCATGGTCTCCCCCCCGGTCCCTCCCTCCCCTTCCTCAGGGCCCTGGCCCTGCCTGTGTCCCCTGTGTCGAGGGGCGCCAGCGTGCTGCCCCTCACTCCTCCCAGTTTCCTTCCGACAGAGGCTCCGTTGCAGACGCTTCACATGGACGTGTGGGGCCCTGCCCGCGTCCGTGGACTCAGTCACGAGCGCTACTTCCTGTTGGTGGTTGACGACTACTCGCGTTTACACCACAGTCTTCCCCTTGCGCAGCAAGGGTGATGTCACTGAGGTGCTGATCGACTGGATCCGCGCAGCTCGTCTCCAGCTCAGGCAGAGCTTTGGCTCGGACTTTCCTGTGTTGCGTCTGCACTCGGACAGAGGTGGAGAGTTCTCCTCTGGCCTTCTGCGTGCCTACTGTCGTTGCGCGAGGCATCCGCCAGACCTTCACGCTTCCGGACTCCCCGCAAGCAAAATTGGGATTGCAGAGCGCCGCATTGGCATGGTCATGGACGTCGCTCGTACGTCTATGATGCATGCGGCTGCCCCCCATTTTCTGTGGCCGTTTGCGGTCAGGTACGCGGCGCATCAGATCAACCTCCACCCCAGGGTCTCCAGGCCGGAGACCTCCCCAGCCCTGCTGTGGACGGGGAAGGTTGGCGATGCGTCGGCGTTCCGGGTCTGGGGATCTCGGGCGTTTGTCCGCGACTTGTCTGCGGACAAGCTGTCCCCTCGCGCTGCTCCCTGCGTCTTCCTGGGGTTCCCCCCGACGCCCCTGGGTGGCAGTTCTACCACCTCACCTCTCGACGTGTTCTGTCCTCCCAGGACTTCACGTTCGACGAGTCGGTACCCTACTACCGCCTCTTCCCCTACCGCACTCCGTCCCTCCCCCCGCCCCCGCTCTTCTTGGTACCAGGCCCCCCCCCCGTAAACCCCCTCCCCCTCAGGGTCCTGCCCCTTCAGGTGTGTCCCAGGTAGACGGTCGAGCCTGTCGAGGTCACTGGTGACTCTGGTGCTGCTGCGGGAGCTGGGCCTGGGGGTGCTCAGACTGGAGGCGCTACGCTTGGGGGTGCTGAGCCTGGGGGTGCGGAGTCTGGAGGTGCTGAGCCTGCGGGTGGTGCTGAGCCTGGGGGTGCTGAGCCTGGGGTACTGAGTCTGGGTGGTGCTGAGCCTGGAGGTGCTAGGCCTGGGGGTGCTGAGCCTGGGGGTGCTGAGACTGGGGGTGCTCCGCCTGGCGGTGCTTCGTCTCGCCGAGAGCCACTCTCCCCACAGGAGCTGCGTGAGTGAGTGGTTTGCCCGGCGCTGGAGGCGTGCTGCTGGTGCTGGAGGTTCTTCGGCTGCAGAAGGTGCTGCTGCCGAGCGTCCCGAAGGTGCTCGTGCTGTGGGTGCTGGAGCTGCTGGGTCTGAGGGTTCTCTGGAGTTGGTGCTGCTGAGGGTGTTGGCGCTGAGACTACCGCTGGCGGTCTGACTGGCAGTGCTCGTGGTGGTGCTACTGGAGGTTCTGGAGCCGCTGGAGGAGCTGCTGGAGGTGCTGCTGGAGCGGGTACTCCTCCTGGGGGTACTGGTGCTGTCCTTGTCTGTTTCTGGCGTCGCCACGCGGCCCCGACCGTACTTCGTTCCGCTCCTGCAGCAGGTTCTTGGTCGTACACCTTCTCGTGGTCCTCCTCCTCCTCCCTTAGAGGGTCCACAGCCTGTCTCGTCACGGTCACAGCTACAGCCTGCCTCCCCTTTGCCTGC